TACAAGTGTTAAGAATGGAAATGTCTATGTGCTTTTCCACGACCAATAAAATCTCACTTGTGGAAAAACAAACAAACAAACAAACAAAAAACTCAAAGCAACAACAACAAAAACAGGGCTGAAGAGACGGCTCAGTGGTTAAGAGCACTGGCTGCTCTTTCAGAGGACCTGAGTTCAATTCCCAGCACCCACATGGTGGTTCACAATCTGGCTCCAGCTCTGGAAGCTAACAGCCTCTTCTGACCTCTGAAGGGCACAAGGCACACACAGGGTACAGGGACATTCGTGCAGGCAAAGATACAGAGAAAACAAACAAAACCCAGACATGGTGGTGTGTTTGTAATCATAGAACTGGCCAGACACAGCGGGGGGCCTTGGGAACTCACTAGCCAGCCAGGCATGTATATAAATCCCAGGCAAGGAAGAATCACTGTCACAAAATACTTTCAACTTTTTAAAAAGTGGATGGCACCTGAAGGACACCACAGATATGGACACACAAATGGAACAGTAATGTCAAGATGAAAGAGAAAGCCACATGGCAGCCTGCAGGTGCTGGGGATGCTAACAGGACAATGAGGGGACCCCAAAGCAGCTGCACTGGCAAGTTTTCACCCAGCATAAAGGGTGGCTTCTTCAGAGCCACAGAGATGTCACCCCACTCACTTCTGTTCCCAAGGTACTCTAACCTCCCCCACCCCAGGCCACACAATATTAAGACAGAATTATATGCAAATGGCCAAGAGGTGCAGAAGGTGGCTGAGCTCTCAGATGAGGGTCCAGTGACGCTCCCTACTCCTCTGAGGGATGGTGATGCACTGTCATCAGTCTCATAAGCAGGTACACCTGATCTCATGAAGATGGCCCTCTCGTGCTCAGGGACCCCCCCCCCCCAGTAGCTGTGATCTTACACTGAATTGGCTTAGGAAGAGCAGGGGCGTGTGTAGAATTTTATGGAAGTGGGTCTTGTCTTCGCCTTCCCTGCAGCCAGCTTTGCCTCTGTCACTGGTTCTCGGGTGCTGCCCACTGAGGGGTGGGGGAGCATACCAACTTTGGGGACTCTGGGTGAATTCGGCCATCCACAGCTGTTTTGAGGCCTCAGCTCCATCTCAGTGGGAGGAGGTCACGTCTTCAGGAATTCTATGACCAAAACCAATCTGGGGAGGAAAGGGTCTGCCTGGCTGACAAGTTCAGGTTGCAGTCCATCATTTAGGGAATCAAGGCAGGGACTGAAGCAGAAACCATGGAATGTTGGTTGGTTGATTTTTTTCTAGCTCTTTGGCTCATGGTCAGCTAGCCTTTTTATACAGCCCAGTCTCACCTGCTTAGGACTGGCACCTCCTAGGCCAATCAGCAATCAGGAAAATGATCCACGGAAATGGCCACAGGCCAATCTGATGGAGGCAAGTCTTCATCTGAAGTGCCTTCTTCCCAGGTTGGCCAGCACACTCCCACTCCTCCACCTTCCTCAGTAAGACAGGGCCTCTCAATCAAACCCAGAGCACTCAGATGGGGCTAGTTTTACTAGCAAGTTTACCGAGGGATCTGCATCTGCCCCCAGAGGCTACATTTAAAGAGGAACACCACATCACATCCCCTTGGCATTTACCCATGGATTCTGGGGAACTGAACTCTGGTGTGCTTTAACCGCTGAGCCACAGTCCACATCTGCTCTAAAGACAGCCAGGTAGTAGTGCATGCATGCCTTTAATCCCAGCACTCGGGAGGCAGAGGCAGGTAGATCTCTGAATTAAAGGACAGCCTGGTCTACAGAGCGAGTTCCAGGACAACCAGGGCTATGCAGAGAAACCCTGTCTCAAAAAAAGCAAAGCAACAAAATAAGAGAATACCAGGAAAGTCATATAGTTGACTGATAGAGACAGAAAAATGTCGATGGCAAGGTGGGCAGACAAACTGGGGATTCTGTAGTGGTAGAGCAGTGGGTGTTCCACAAGGGGGCAGTGCGAACAAGCTGGTAGATCCTGACCAGCAGTTTTTTGTTGTTTGATTTTTCCAGACAGGGTTTCTTTGTGTAGCTCTTATAGACCAGGCTGGCCTCAAACTCACAGAGATCTGCCCCTGCCCCTGCCCCTGCCCCTGCCCCTGCCCCTGCCCCTGCCCCTGCCCCTGCCCCTGCCCCTGCCCCTGCCTCCTGAGTGCTGGGATTAATGGCGTGCACCATTAACGCCTGGCTTTGATCAAGAGTTTTTATTTAATTTTTTTTCATTTTAAAATATTTATTTATTTTTGCGGATGGGGGGGAGTCAGTTCTCTCCTTCTACAATGTGGGTTCTGAAGCTCTAACTTAAGTTAGTTACCCACTGTGCCACTTCTCTAACCCCTGTGACTAAGAGTTTTTAAAGACCAAAAAGACTTAAAATTTAAAAAATAGTCTCAGAGCTGGGTGTAATGACTCACCCCTGTAGTGGCAACATTCAAGAGGTTGAGGCAGGAGGGTTGCCACAAGTTTGAGGCTAACCTGGCCTACATAATGAGTTCCAGACTGGGCTACAAAGTAGAATCCTATCACAGAAGGAAAGCAAAGCAAAATCTCAGTGTCTCCTGTAGTGAGCCGGGCCTGGGGGCACTTGCCTGTGATGTTAGCACTGGGAAGGAGAGGCAAGATGATCAGGAGTTCAAGGGTAACTCATCAAGGCAGGGTCTCTCAATCATATGATAGTCACACGATACCCTGTCTCAAAAAGCTGGAAAGAGGGCTGTGGGGAAGGCTCAGTGGGCAAAGGTGCTTGCAGCCAAGGCTGACAACGTGAGTTCGATCACTGGAACCTAAATGGCAGAAGGGGAGAATGGCTCCAAACTGTCCTTTCTAACCCCCATGTTTGCACTGTGGCAACTGTGTCTTCCACCCCACTTTAAAAAAAAAAAAATCAGGCTTGACAGTAAGCAACTTTATCCACTAATCATTCTCACAACCTGCAGTTCGAATCCAGCCGGGGACATATGAGACTTTTAGAATAAAGGGTGACAACAAATGAGGTTTAATGGTGTGTCTTGAGTTCATTTCCCTTACCTTTTGGTAAGGGAGGAGCCTTCACTAGCAAAGGGCCTGGAGATCAGTATCAAGACTTGGTCAACAGGGTCAGTGAACCCATGTGTCTAGCCTGCATATGAACAGTGTAGGTGGGACACTAGCTCCCTGCATCCCCAAGGCTGTGTAAATGTCTCATCTGAGTCTGCTCTGGCCTCCTAAAGAATGCCAGCCATAGACCATCTTTCTAAGAACAGTCCCCTTTCACTAGGGGTCAGGTTATGTGGCAATATCCCTGGCTACTAGGTAGGACTGTCCACTTCTGCCCTCCAGGCTGACATACCAGGCTGAGCAGCTGCATCAGCTTGTATAGTTCCCTCCAGGCTGCTTCCTCTGAGCGCTGATGAGGGCCAGCAGGTCCTGGAGGAGACAGGAGAGCACTGTGTGTCCCAGTCCTGCCCTGTCACAGGGATGTGTATCAGAGTGGAGGAGATGTCTGGAAGTTGGCACCAGCTGTCCTTCAAGCCTGCCGGGCCTCTGTCGCAGGATGCCTGATATCCTCATAGATGGGCACAACCAGCCTTGCCCTGTACTCCATCCGGGTCACAGGCTAGAGTCTAATACTTGCCCTAATACTAGCCCCACAGGCAACAGTTTTTCCCAGAGAAGCTACCTCAGCCGGCTCTAGGTCCTACTCAGCCTCCCCTGCATACTCTGTTCTTGGCCCCACACCCACACCCACGCACACACAACACACATGGCCTTTCTCACCAGCTTTGTACATTCATCTTTCATACCTTTGCTCCATTTATCCCCCTCTGGAAGCTCCAGTTCTATCTGCCAAGCCCCAGGTCCCCATTAAAGCCAAGCAAAGTGTTCCCCTCCCACACATCCTGCAGGCACGCTTGGCTGCCCTAGGCATTCTGGGTAGGAGCTTGCTACTGCCTCCTTTCCTTCCAAGGGTTCTGGTTCTGTTCTTCTGTGAGCTTAGCAGCTCTACCTCCTCCTTCACACTCAATACTCGTGGGATGGGGTCCCTTGTAGTCCAGGCTAGCTTCAAACTGACTGGCTTTGAACTCCAGGCTCTGGAATGCTGGGATTACGGGTTTGTGCCACCCCTCTCTGTTTATGTGGTACTAGGGATCAAACCAGGCTTTGTGGATGCTAGGTGAGCCATCCCCATTCCCTGGGGTTTTGTTTTTTAGGAACATGTAGCCCAGGCTGACTCCAAACTTACTATGTAGCCAAGGATGACCTTGAACTTCTGATCTGCTGGCCTCCACCTCCCAAGCGCTGGGACCACAGCAGTGGACCAACCAATACATTCAGTTTCCAAGTTTATTTAAAAAAATAAAAAGCTGGGGCATGGTGGTTCATGCCTTTAGTCCCAGCCCTCAGGAGGAAGAGGCAGGCAGATCTCTTTGAGTTCAAAGCCAGCCTGGTCTACAGAGTGAGTTCCAGGACAGCCAGGGCTACACAAAGAAACCTGTCTCAAAAAAAGAATCATACACAAAATAAAACAAAAAGATGTATTTTATGTGTATGAATGTTTCCCCTGCACATATGTCTGTGCATCATGTGTGTACCTGGTGTCATCGGAGGTCAAAGAAGGTTGTATAAATCCAGAACTGGAGTTACAGATGGTTGTGAGTCATTGTGTAGGTGTTCAGAACCAAACCAGGTCCTTTGCAAGATCAGTCAGAGCTCTTAACCACTGAGCCACCTCCCCTCCCCCCATAATATTTTAAAATAAGCTTTTATTTACAGTTGGCAATCTACGTTTGGAAGTAGCTCATAGAAGGCCCCCAAAGTCCTGAAGCATAAGTGACCTAATGGTCCAAAGCCTTTCTGTCCATCTCCTCCAGAGCCCACCATAGCCTGGGAGGAAGTGATCTTTACCCCACACCCTTTGAACAGGACAGTCTGTGACCATCCAGCCCACGCTGGCTGGCTACCACCCCCACAGGGATTTATTCCCAGCACCATTCAGGAACCTCCAGCCACCCAGGCCATGGCCTTCATCCAGGCCTTAGCCACCATGCTGGTACTGCTCATCGGGGTCCTGCCCCACAGCCTCAATGAGAACTTGGATCATAAAAGGGTGAGTAGTGTCCCCGACTTCCTCTGTGATGAAAGGGTGACAGCTGCCCTTCAGTGGGAATCCAGGCCCTGGCTGGAGGGGTGGGGGCAGATGCACTCACAACCCTGGACTGGAGACCAGTACCCCTGGCCCAGGCCTGTCTGTCCTCACAGCACTGGGCTTGCCACCCCACCCCCACCATCCCAAACCCTCCTGACCTCCTGAGAGATTCTGGTCCTCTTCCCTCCTCCGAGGCCTAGGGATCCTTCTAGATGCAGAGTCTGTCTTCTCTTCCTCTTTCTCCTGTACATACTTTTAATTCTAAAAGTTTCCTTCCTCCCTCCCTTCCTTCCTTCCATCTCCCTCCCTCCCTCTTCCCCCACCCTCCCTTTGTGTACACTGTGTACCTGACATCAGAGGAGTCCATTTTATCTTCCCATCTCTACTCAGTCTGGGGATTGAACCCATCTTGCCCAGCAAGCACCTTTGCTGGCAGAGCCATCTCGCCACCGCCCTCCATTCCCACTAGCTATTCGAATTGTGGTCTGGGACTATTTCCTAGTGTCAACATTTGGGAGCCATGGAGGTGAGAGGGCAGAGGGAACCTGCTCAGTCAAGTCCTGCTTGGGGAAGGGGATGCATGGGCGGTGGTCTGAGGTGACAGTCTCATGGCTTTTGTTCCTAGACCCCTGGGTTCTTGGGCACTGCCAGGACCTCCTTCATCCCAACATAGACAGGAGCTGCTGACCAAGGGGCTGTCTCCACAGGCCAGCGGGGAAAAGTGTGTCCACCACAGCCAGTGCTTGAGTGACTGTTGCCTCATAGACCTGGAAAGGAGGGGGGCCTTCTGCACCCCCAAGTCTCGGATAGGCATGGAGTGCTTGCCCCAGGTGAGATGCCAGCGGGCAGGGAAGGGGAGGGGAGGTGGTAGAAAAAGGTCAAACACATGCCCTACTACCAACTACCACTCCTTCCAAAACAGCGCTGTTGTGGAACCCTCGAATCCCAGGCTGCCTCCCTCAGCTGTGAAACCACACAGCCTGCTTAGTGGCTGCACACAGCAGGTGTTGGTTGAATGAGAATCTTTTTCTTAACATTTCTGATGTAAGGGAGATGGGAGAAGACACCTACTCTGTCTTGGTGTCCCTCTCCCTGTCACCATGATGGTTACTAGGGAGGGCTGCAGGGCTGCCTGGGACCTCAGCTCTCTGGTGGGACCCACATTACACCCTGGTTTCCTCAACTCCTGCCTTGGATCTCTCTGACCATTAAGGGGGACCGATGTGTCTACCTCATGCAGTGGCTGGGGACATTCACAGGGCTCACTCAAGCAGGCTGTGGTCAACTGGAAGACACAAAGGCACAGAATGTCTTGTTCCTACACATTGGCCCTGGGCCCAAACTCTACTAGGGGGAATGGACCGAGCTTCAGTATCCTTGCCTGGTCCACTACCAGTGTCTAAAGGAACCAGCCAGGGCCCCATGTGGTCTGGAGAGTCTCTTTATTAGAGGCCACTTGGTACATCATATCTCACTCACCACAGTATGGAGATGGACAAGGTCCTATTTGGCTTTCGGTTGCTGTGATAAACACCACGACCAAAAACAATGCAGGGAAGGAAGGGTTTGTTACGGCTTATACTTCTAGGTCACACTCCATCATCACCAAAGGATGTCAGGCTGGAGCTGGAGAAATGCTATTCAGGCTCACCTGCCTAGGGATGGTGCTGCCTGCAGTGGCCTGGGCCCTCCCACATCAAGGCCAATCTGAGGGAGGCAATTCATTAATTGAGGTCACCTCTTTCCAGGTGACTGTTAGGGTATGTTAACAGGAAAACCCAGCCAGGGGGTGGGGGTAGGGCGCTGTAGAGCTCTTGTTTCTGGCAGGAGACAAATTTCCATTCCCAGCACTCACATAGTAGTTCACAAACATCTGTAACTCCAGCTCCAGGTGACCTAACAAGCACGCAGGCATGAACATACATTCAGGCATGTAAACACATGAAGTAAAATAAAATCTAAAAAGAGAAACCAGGACGGCTGCTGCTGTCCCCTCCGGACAGAGGAGACCAGGTAGCACAGGCTGTGCTCAGCCATGTGACAAGGAACCTCAGGCTGGTCATCTCACACCACTCCTTACCCCAGGAAATGTGATCCCCTCGTTTTATGTCCTTCTTTGCCCACAGACCAAGGGGACCCTGAACATCCTGTGTCCCTGCCGAATTGGCTTGAGCTGCCATTCTAAGGACCCCATGTGCCCCCGCCGATGCCAAATGATTTAGAGGAGGGAACATTGGCCATTGTTGCTGCACACTCCCCCAGGTGTCCGTCTCCCCAGGGGTCCCCACCACACCCACCCCACTCCCTAGCACCCTTGTCCCCATTAAAGTTACTGCCTGGCTCTGGTCTCTTGTCTGCCCTTTGTGGGGAAGCCAACCAGGGAGACCTGAGAAGCAAAGATCTGCTCCCCACTTTGTTTTTTACCTCAGTGGGGATGGAGTAATGGAGTTTCACAGGAGGGGGCAGGACTGAGACGAGGCTGGGTGCGTGGTGGGGAGGGACAGAGGGGGGAGATATTTTGTGGGGGGAACAGAAGGGTTAAGATCCCTTGGAGTGTGCCTGTTCCAATGTGTGGGGATGTGTAGACGCAAGACTGTGGGCCAACAAGATGGTTCAGCAGGGTGAGGGCACTTGCTGCCAAGTCTGATGACCCAAGTTCCGTCTCCAGGTCTCACATGACAGGAGAGAATGGAATCATACAAGTTGTCCTCTGCCATCCACACGTGCAGAACACAAAATAATTCTTTTTCTTTTTAAAAGCATTTATATATATATATGCATATATATATATGCACTATATATATATATATATATTATGTGCATTGGTGTTTTACCTGCACATATATCTGTATGAGGGAGTTGGTTACTCTGGGATTGGAGTTACAGACACTTGTGAGCTGCCATGTGGGTGCTGGGAATTAAACCTGGGTCCTCTGGAAGAGCAGTCAGTGTTCTTAACTACAGAGCCATATCTCCAGCCCAAATTAATGATCTCCAGCCCAAATTAATGTAAGAATGTGAGGCTAGAGAGATGGTTCAATAGTTAACAGTGCTGCTGCTCATCGAAAGGCCCAGAGTTCAGTTCCTAACACCCACATTAGGTGATTCCCAAGTGCCAGGAACTCCAACCCTGGTGAATCAGCTGCCCTCTTCTGGTCTCTGCAGGTACTGCACGCGTATGGTGCATATACATAGTAGGTGTGCACACACAGTTTTTGTTTTATTTTGTTTTTTATTTTTGAGACAGGGTTTCTTTGTGTAGCTTTGGAGCCTGTCTTGGAACTAGCTCTTGTAGACCAGGCTGGTCTCAAACTCACAGAAATCCACCTGCTTCTGCCTCCCAAGTGCTGGAATTAAAAGATATGTGCCACCACTTCCCAGTAACTTTTTTTTTTTTTTTTTTTTTTTTTTTGCAAGAATATGACCAGTGGAGTGTGCCTTGAGACACTGAGGCTCAGCTCAACATGCTGTGCAGGTCTCACCCTAAGGTGTCACCACAGACTTTTCTGCTTCAAGACAACCTGAAAAGTGAGTTCAAGGACAGCCTCCAAAGCTACAAGAAACCCTGTCTTGAAAAACAAAAAAAGCAAACACTAAAAAACAAACAAACAAAATTGAAAAACCCACCTGAACTGGCTTAAGTGATGTGGGGAATTTGTTTATGGTTACTATGAAATTCAGAGCCACAGCAGGTCCCAGTGCACGCCCCAGCCAGTCCTGGGTTCCAAGCCACGTTCCTTCCCGGTCGCCTAGCAATGACAGGAGTTCCAGGTGTCACCCAATAACATGGACTTTAAGGAGTAGCATGTTCCCAGGCTGTTGGCGTTGTAGGCAGATGTGAGCCACCTGATATGGGTGCTGGGAATTGAACTGAGGTTCTCTGCAAGAACTGTGTGAACTCTTAACTGATGAGTCATCTCTCCTTATGTTTATGAATGTTTTAGCTGCATGTGTGGCAGAGGGGAACACCTGATGTGGCCTCCACACATGCACACACATAATTCTTCCTGTCTATTGCTTTTTTTTTTTTTTTTTTTTTTTTTTTTTTTTTTTGGCTTTTTGAGACAGGGTTTCTCTGTATTGCTTTGGAGCCTGTCCTGGAACTAGCTCTGTAGACCAGGCTGGCCTCAAACTCACAGAGATCCACCTGCCTTTGCCTCCTGAGTACTGGGATTAAAGGTGTGTACCACCACCACCCAGCTTCCATTGCATTCATTATTCTTTGAGGCAAGTGGCCAGAACTAAAATGTTGGGAGCTAAGAGTCAGGTCTCCAGCTAATATCCCTGCCTCATTAGGACAATGAAGCTGGCATGATGGTCCACACTGTAATTTAGCACCACAGAGACAAAGGCAAAGTTAAGAGGCCAGCCAGGACTACATAGTGAGAGCCTAGCTCAAAACCAGGAAGCACAAAATACTAACGGTAATAATTAGCCAGGGCCAGCAAGATGGCTGGGTAAGGGCCTTTGTGATGCAAGCCAGGGGACCCTGGCTCAGTCCCTAGATCCTACAACATGAAAGGGGAAAACTAACCCCCAAGCTGTTCTCTGAAGGCACCTTGTGTGCTCTGGAGCCCACCCTGATAAATATATAAATATAATAAAAAATAATTACTAAGATGAAATATTGTCCCTTCTACTGGACTTGACCATGGGAAAAAAGTGGGGATCACCTAGAACATGCCACATCTTTAGCCAAATAGCCAATTTAAGTTAAATAAGCCAAAGTTTTATGCTTTTTTTTTTTTTTTTTTTTTTTTTTTGGGTACAGGTCTCACTATGTCATCTTAGCTATTAGCTATGTAGACCAAGCTGGTCTTGAACTCACAGAAATCCCCCTGCTTCTGCCTCCGAGTGCTGGGATTTAAGGTGTGTGCCACCACCACCCAGAGAGCCACAACTTTCTTAAGATGACATCATTATTCCTTTAGCTTTTCTTCAATTATCCCCCGTCTGAGACCACAGAGAGAATGTCATGGGTTCACCAAAGCCCACTTCCTTGGGCTGTTTCTGCTTGGCAGAAGGAAGGGAAGTGATGTATAATTTTGGACAAAGCAGGAAAGAAAACAGTAATTATGATACAAAAGAAGAAACCCAGACCCATGTTTGGCCAACAGCTTTCAAACCTACCCCTTCCCACTGGCCCCACATGTGGGAGGGAAAGAGACCACACAGGCTTCCCTAGATGCTGACTGGGAATTCATGAAGCCACACGTATTGCAGGTGGTTCTGGGGAGGCTCACCCTCACTACTGGGTGTCCTGTAACTGTCTCCTGTCTCCCACCGAATACTCCATTCTGAAACCTATTAATATTTCACAGCTTCTGAACAGCGCTATTAAGTAACGGGGTGGGGCTGTCTTCACCCTCTTTGGGTATCTAGAAAGTAATCCATTCTCCAGTTCTCTCACCTTGCTGTGCCCCTGGGAACTATGAGAGACCTGGATTTTTCAAGTCACTACCCAAATGGCCTTGCATTCAGCAGACACTGTGGGAGCAAAAACAAAACAAAACAAAAACAACCCTTCCTTTTCTGTCATCTCAACACTCCCTGCTGAACTTCTGATCCTCCTGCCTCAGCCTTCCCAGAGCTGGGGATCACAGCCAGTGGGGCTGAGCCGGTTTACATCAGATCCTCCTGAGGCCAGGGGCTTTCTCTGGCAGTGCAATGAGTGCTTGCTGGTCAGGACACGAGGAGCTTTCTACACTAGGACGGGATGGGAAGGAACTCAACAGCATCTATTAAAGCCGGATAAGATCCTGAGATAAACCAAACTTCCGTTCCATCAAGCTCCCCCTGGGAACTTTGACTTTACAGTGGTGCTTACTTTCACACAGCAGGAGTGAGGGGCTACTGACAACGTGGGTGACCCCAAGATAGCTGCTTTGGAAGTCTGCCCCCAGCACCTACATTAGCGTCCCCGTGGTTGAGAAGATGGGGCCCTTCCCCTAATCTACTCCAGCTGTTCTCTGAGACCCCCTCCCCCCAGGCCACCAGCAATTAGTGCAGATTTCATACTTTGGCTAGGAGGGCTGGCTGGGTAATCAGGTGATAGTCACACAGCCTGCCCCATACCTCCTTCCTTTCAATCCAGCGGCGGCTGCTGGCCTGGGAGGATAATCTCGTACAACACCATCGCTTGCTTCTTCTGGCCTGTCTCTTTGGTTAGCCCAGGAGTCAGTGTCTGCTGCTCATTATTTCTCCTCCCGAACTTTGGTCACATGGTCATGACGTGGTAGAGGCCAAGCCTTTAGTTGCACCCTCGAAGAGCCCACCACTTGTGGACCATCGCACAGCACAATAGTGTAATTTTGACTATATCTCCCCAGCTGGAGGGTGCGACCCTCTCCTGGCTGCCCCTGCCCTGAGGCCGTACTGTCTGGGAGGGCAGGCAGCCTCTGGGGCTGACAGGAGAAAGCTGGGAGTGTCACAACAGAGAGTCGGATCCAGGATCCAGGGCGACTAGGAGAAACAAGGGCTCTGTTTGGGTTCGGGCCATGGCTGTCACAGCGTCTGGGGGACACAGCCCCTGACTTGAGCTCACAGCGCTCAACACTTTATTGAGCACACACTAGATATGAATTACTTTTCTCGGTGTTCCAGGACAGGACTGGGGATGAGACCGTGGACCTCAGCGCAAGAATGCCGTGTAAATATAATCCACAGCTCAAGTTGGTCAAGGCCACCCGTGGACCCAGGGAGCAGGGTTCCAGGTCAGGGAGGTGTTGGCTGCAAAGTGAAGGCAGAGGCACAAGAGGAAACCACAGAGGAGAGGGAGCCGGGGCCACGGAAGTCAGAGGATGCGAGTGAAGGGACCCCTGCCCGCTTGGACTGGGATCTGAGGGGAGACAGATTCAAAAGCGAACAAAAGACAGGTGATAATATCAGAGAGGTGTGTTCCAAAGAGCTCAGAGGGGCGTCCTCCATGGCTGGTATCCTCCCTAGCTGAAGTCCTCTATATCTGGGCTCCTCCATGGCTGAGGCCCTGCTTAGCTGGGGTTCAGAAGGCTTCTGCCTGAGGCAGCAGGTGGACCAGAGCAAGGCGCTCTGAGTACAGGGCTCCAGGCCCATGGCAGTTCTGAGGTAGGTGAGGCAGGAAGGAAGTGGGAAGGCAAGAAGAGGTGTAGCCCATGAAACCCTCACTCCACAGTCCTTGCAGCCCTTACATCTGCCAGAGGGCCAGAGAGATGGCTCAGCAGCTAAAGGTGCTTGTCACACAAGACTGATGACCTGGGTTCGATCCCCAGATCCTACAGAGGAAGGTGAGAACTGATTCCATGAAGTCTGTCTTCCGGCCACACACAAAAAATAGTAAAATACATTTATTTAAAATATCCTTTAGTAGGCATAAGAATTCATAACACCTGATATTCACGTGGGGTCAGTGTTATATGTACCATAGTGTGCAGACCAGGAATCACAGGTTTGGCTCACACCATGCCCCAAGTGGCCACCACCACCGGGCTCACTCGCAGTTCCCCAGTGAACTCCAAAGTTGACACCCCACTACTGTTCATCCCTGACAAATATGGGATTCCATATGGCGAAACTTCTCAGTGCATGTTTTCAAACCCCACCTTTAAAGCCAGGTGTGCTGTGCACTCACGTAGCTCCAGGACTCAGGAGGCAGAGGCAGGAGGATTGATGTAAGTTCAAGGTCCGCTTGGGCTACCTAGTGAGACCTTGTCTCAATGATAATGATGGTGGTGGTGGTGGTGATGTTGGTGATGAAGAGGAGGAGGAGAGACCCCCATCTTCTTCGCTCAGCATTGAGTCTGTGACAGGCTCTCCTTACAGAGACAGCTGTTGTCTGTCACCCTCTCTGCCACATTCCTCCAAGGGTGTCATCTAGAGCCACATAGGTCATTCACATTTGCAGTAGCTGAAATTGAACACATGAGGAAATGCACCTGACTGGTTTCAGTAGTCTCTCTGGAGTTACCTGTGGCTTGTGTCCTGTAGTAAGTTTCTATCACAGATCAGGCCGTTCCTGGGACCAGAATGTTATATTGGACAGAGTGACAGGGGCATTGTCTCATAAAGTCTCCTTAAAATTTTTTATCTGTTTGTTTTATTTTTGAGACAGGGTCTCACTGTGTAGCCCTGTCTGTCCTGGAACTCACTCTGTAGACCAGGCTGTCCTGGAGCTCACAGAGATCTGCCTGACTCTGCCTCCTGAGTGCTGGGGTCAAAGGTGTGCCATACCCTTATTTATGGGGTGGAAGAGGGCATATATATGTGTGGAGGCCAGAGGGCAACCTGCAGAAGTTCTCTCCTTCCATAGGTGGGTCCTGGGGACCACACTCGGGTCATTGGGCTTCGAGGCAAGCCCCTGCTGAGCCATTTTGCCAGCCCAGACATCTTTGTGTGGATTTCAGAGCAGGTGACTGCTGGGTTCCAGGCTTAGTGGGAGAAAGGATGGCTAAAAGAATAGCCACAGCGACCAGTCACTTCACTACACTATGGAGCCCCACTCCCTGCCCACTTCTCAAAACCAAAGGCTCTCTGCTCACATCCTAAACAGCCCAAAACACCGTGGGTGCTGTGGTCGGACTAGACACAGGCAAAAGCATGACTGACTGGCTCTTTGGAGGTTAAGTGTAGCGCCTGCCTCTGCACTTGACCTGCCTCCACAGAAAGGCACTGAGAGCTCTTCATGTTGGGGTTTTGCCTTCCTTTCTTGATAGTGGAACCCCAGCGTTAACTGAGCAGCCCCAAGCCCAGCTCTGAGACAGGGATCACAAATTGTCAGTCAGGTCTTTCAGCCTCCCTTGACCTAGACTTGGTCAGATCCAACAAACAGTGGTTCTCAACCTTCCTAATGCTGAGACCCTTTAACACAGTTCCTCATTTTGTGGTGACCTCCAACCATAAAACTATTTTCATTGCTACTTCATAATTGTAATTTTGCTACTGTTATGAATCACAGTGTAAATATCTGATATGCAGGAAATCTGTTATGGACCCTGTGAAAGTGCTATTTGACCCCCAAAGGTTCCACAACCCACAGGCTGAGAGTTGCTGGCCTAGAGGCTCTTAGCAGAGACAAGGGGAAGGCAGGGAGGAGGGCTGCTCTCCCCAGCCCCCTACTCCCCTGCCTCAGAATATGGTGAAAGGGTATAATGCTAGGAGTGGCTGCTAACCCACCAGACACATGCCAGCCCTTCCTGTCTCCCAACTTGTGGGGTGGTGAGGTGTAGATGCCCCATTTTGTGAAGCCATGACGACTTGGGACTTTGCAACTGAATGTGGTCTGAAGGCAGAAATCATGGGTTCTAGAGGCTTTGCTGACCCTAGAACTACAGACTGTGGGACTTTGGAGTGTCTGAGTTTTGATACCCCAACTTGTGAGTGAATCTCCCTACCTCCAGCATCCCAACCAGGGTCAGTAGCGTTTCCTTGGGCCTTACTGTGTGCTAATTAACTGGTGGGGTTTTAAAATTACATTTATTTATTGGTGTGTGTGTGCCCATGTGAGTTGTGTGTATGTGTGCATGTGACTGTGTGTGTATGTGTGCATGTGACTGTGGGTGTATGTGCACGTGTGTGTGCGCGCGAGTGCGTGGCCTCATGTAGAACATCACATGAGTGGAAGTAGGACAGCCTGCGTGTGTGTGTGTGTGTGTGTGTGTGTGTGTGTGTGTGTGTGTGATGTGAGTGTGTGCATGTGTGTGCATGCGGTCCTGCAGACTTTTTCCTTCTACCATGTGCATCCCCAGGAACAATCTCAAGCTGGCTTGGTGACAAGTGTCTTTACTCACTGGGCCATCTCACTGGTTCTAACTAATTAATACTTGATGGCTCCTGAGAGAATGCGGTTCTATATTAAGGGAAAATTTAATTCCTTATGCTTCCCACTCATTTTTCTTAGTGTGAATGTTGAGAAAGGACAGGGTGGGCTTGCTTCATGTCGGGCACACTGCTTCAGCTCTCTGTATTCACTATCTTTCAAGTAGAGAATGTAAGTTCTCCCTGGGGGTCACTGAGGGGAGTTCCAGAAAGGGGTGTGACCCATTAGCACATGAGAGGTGTCAGCTAGTTGTCACAACCGAAAGAAGGGCCCTGAAAGGAGGGAGAGCCAGACCCCCCCCATGACTCCCCGCTGGAGGTGTCTCTGGCTCAGGAGAGGAGGGAAGCCTGAGTGGGCCTGCTTCTTAGCACTGGGTCCAGCCCTGCCTGTGCACCAGGCTATCCCTGACCCCAGCCTCCACCACATCCTTCTGCCCTGTGGGCCCCTGGCCCTGGTAGACAAAGGTTTCATGAGACTTCTGCTGGCACATCAAGGACAGGCAGAGGCTGGCAAGGTTGCAGGTGCACTTTAATAGCCTACAGCTGGCTCAGATAGCGCAGATGGAGGAGGGGAGAGGTGGCCCCCGGCCCAGCTTATCGCATAGGTTCACTGCTTGGAGCGCCCGACATCAAGGCAGATGCCATAGTTGGTGTTGGTGATGGCGCCAAGGATGGTCTTGTCCCCCTCACAGGTCAGGCCCCGCTCACAGGGACACCTGTAGTAAATTCCATAGATGGTCTGCAGACATAGGGAAGAACAAGAGAGTCACCAATAGTGGGGACATCTTGGTTGTCTTTTGTTTCCTACCTGGCTGTGAACTGGCTGCCCTGTACTTCACAGTATGCTCCTGGAAGCCTCACCAAGGGGCCGGGGTTAGGTCTCCACCAATACTATCTTGATAGCTCAGAGGAGTCTCTACTTACCCACCTGTGGAATGGGAAAACACACACACACACACACACACACACACACACACACACACACACACCACCATCACCAACCCAGGGGCCAGTTGTGATAGTCAAGGGGAATGATGGGATGGGCTAAACCTTTGACCATGTAGACCTCCCTCCTCACTCCTTCAGCATCCCATGTCCAGGTGGACCCCCCCCCCCCATTCCACAAGCTTCCAGGCACACACCTTCGGGGAGCACTCGCTGTTCTCCATGGCCTTGTGTGTGCAACGGGCGATGCCCAGGATGGTGTCATGTTGGCAGCATTTGCTCTTACACTGCATACTGTTCATGCAGATCTCGCCGTCATCCTGCAGGGACAACCTGTCAGCCCGAACCCTTCACCCATGCCCCTTCTCTAGAGCTCACCACAGCTACCACAGGCACCTCCCTCAGTGAGGCCTGTGTGAAGGGTCTCACCCCTGGGTCTGAGGGCCACTGAGGGAGGAGGTGGCAGAGCTGTCCTGGGCTAGGAGTTCAGGCATATAGGTCGTATTATTACTGGCTGCTCCCTGGTGACCCTGGCCAGCAACTGGTACCCTCCAAAGCAGAGTCTCCTACATTTACTTCCTTTCTTCCTATGAGACAGGCTCTCACAGCCCAGACAGTCCTGGAATTATAGAGCCCAGGCTGGCCTCAACCTGTGCCCCTCTGCCTCAGCCTCCCCAGTGGTGGGATTACAGGGTTCACCATGCCTGGCTTCCCCCACTACTTTGTGGGGCCATGAATATGGAAGTCATCTCTACACTGCACACTTATTGGGTATGGCGGTGCACACCTTTAATCCCAGCCCTGACTGGAAAGGCAGAGGTAGGTGGCTCTCTGTGAGTTCAAGGCTAGCCTGGCCTACAAAGTGAGTTTCAGGAAAACCCACGGCTCCCTAGTGAGATCCTGTCTCAAACAAATAAAAGACACTACTCTTGTCCAACAGACATCCACATAGATTCCTGGGCTAGCTCACCTCCCAGCCTTCCCCTGGGGCTGCTGGCCATGCAGTGCTTGCTCCACTGAAGTGAGGTGGAAAGGCATCATGGGCTCCAGCTTCCCTTGCCTTTGAGCTATGAAACCTTGGGTGAGTGGTCCACTTGGCTCTCTGCCTTCCCTGGAGGGCTAACTGCACTGACATTCCTCAGGCATTTAGAAGGGTGTCTGGCACATGGAAAGGTGTCATTGGAGGGTAGAGACCAGGATCATTGTAATGACCTTTCTTAAAAAGCTGCCAACTTTTAAGCCATAGGACCTTCCCAGACAGGGTTACTGACTTAGGGCTCTGGCTTTGTAGAGAGCAACCTCCCAGCCAGGTGGAGTTCAGAGATGTCTCGTCACCTCTCCTGGAATGGCCTGGGAAAAGGCTAATACCAGCAGTCAGGAGCCAATGCTTACAAAATCTACAGGGCAAGACTGACAGCTCCACAGAGACACCTTACCAGGTTAACAAAAAGTCCCCGGGGTCCAGGAGCTGCATAGGCCACTGCAGCAAGGGCCACAAGCAGAAGGACAAGGGCCTTCTCCATGGTGTCTGGTACAGCTGGTGTGGGTGGCAGCTGGCAGTTCAGATGGCAGAAGGCAAGAGCCATCTGAGGTGGTGGGCCTTTAAAGGGGCCCTATCTACATGTGACCTGCCTTCTGCACACTGCAGGACTGGCCACCAACAGAGGCACAGACGTGGCCTGTGTGCTGGGGGAGGGTCCTGATAAGATGTCTGGCAGAACTCATAAAGGCCATCTGTGTATGTGTGTGTGTCCATTTACACACAGGAATGTAAGTCACGTTATCACATTATAGTTAAGACAGCAGACTTTGGGCTGAGTAGCACTCATAAGGCCCTGTATTTGATACCCAGCAGCACAAATAAAGAAAAAAAAAAAAAGTAAGGGGAGGACCCTGGACAAGTAACTGCGTAAGTTACCAGCTGGGTGAGTTAGGTACACTAACCATCCTGGTCCCTGGCTCAGTCTTCCAGTCTGTCAGCCAGGGGTAATTGCAAGAGCCGGGAGGGTGGACTGAACCTTCATTGTGGGTTGCTCTATCTTAATATGAAATTACTGAAGTGTATTTATATTATATATGGCCGAATGCATGGTGCTCTGCACCACATTATTATCTAGGAGCTCTGGAGATCTGAGCTGGTGACTTGAGCTCCTCAGCAAGGCAAGGCTAGGGTGAGGCACAAGAGGAACTTAAAGTATTTGTGTCACCTGCTGCGGGTCCGACCAAACTCAGGTGTGAGGTTTAGGTAACGAGTCTGAGACCCTAACCTTTAAGCTTTCCTTCTTTCCATGCTCATGGGGGATTCCAGAGTCACTGGCTAAGGTGTGCATATTCTCTGACGGGCAACCCCCACCCGTCCCAGGAAGCTGCCTCATGAGGCAGTTACAACTCTGCAGGACTGTCTCCAGTGACTCAGTACCTGCAAGGGCAGTGTGGGAGCTGCCCCCCTGACTGGACATGATGGGGTTCACCCATCCTCCATCCCAGCTCCCAGAAGGATCTTGAGTCCAGAGGAGCCGGAGGCATATAGCAAGATCCTATATTTAGAACAAAAACAAAACCCTGAAACTAATCAGCACCCTGAGTGAAGGTTTTCAGTCACCCTGCTCCCTACCCAAGGTCACGTACAAGTGGGAGTACTTCCTACTCCTGGCTGGGAATGAGGAGGGTTGAGCCTGGCGGTGCGGGCTGGGAAGCGTCCAGCTGCCTGAGTGTGCTCAGGTGTGCAAACAAAGACACTTCCCTGAAGGTCTGCTTGGTGCCACCAGCACCCCAACCCCAAGAGGTGAGAAACTGCCGCTGGGGGCCCCAGGGTGGGGTGCTTCTGGCCAAAGCTTTGATCTTGACCAACTTGGCTTCAAATATCAGCACTCGAATGCCATGACCTCAGGCAAGGACACAAGGAGTCTTCTAGAATGTTAAAATCATTCTTAAAAAAAAAAAAAAGTCAGTCCTGTGTGCTACTGTTTTCCCTTACTGCCAGCACTCAGGAGGCAGAGGCAGGCATGGACCTGTGAATTGGAGCAACCTAGTCTACACAGTGAGTTCCAGGACAGTTAGGGTTGTATAGAGAAACCCTGTCTCAAAAACCAACAAACTGCCGGGTAGTGGTGGTACACGCCTTTAATCCCAGTACTCAGGAGGCAGAGGCAGGTGGATCTATGTGAGTTCAAGGCCAGCCTGGTCTACAGAGCTAGTTCCAGAACAGTCTCCAAAGATACACAGAGAAACCCTGTCTCAAAAAAACCAAAAACAAACAAATAAACAAACAAAAACCCCAATATATATACATATAAAAAGTATGTATGGATATACATATGTTTTATTACATTTAAATTTTTATTTATATATGTATGTATGTGGGCACAAATGCCAAGGATCACACATGGAGGTCAGAGAACAATTTTTGGGAGTTGGTTCTCTCCTTCCACTGTGCGGATCCCAGGGAGCATGCTCAGATCATCAGGCTTGGTAGCACAGAGCCATCTCACAAAGCATAATTGTTCTGAAAGATTTATTTGTGTGTGTGTGTGCCTGTGTGTGGTATGTGTATGTGTGGTGTGTGTATGTGGTGTGTGTGTGTGTATGATGTGTGTGGTGTGGGTGTGTGAGTGTGGGGTGTGTGTGGTGTGTGGTTGTGTTGTGTGTGGTGTGTGTGTGGTGTGTGTGGTGTGGTGTGTGTATGTGTGGGGTGTGTAGGGTGTGTGCGTGTGGTTGTGTGTTGTGTGTGTGGTGTGTGTGTGTGCTGTGTGGTGTGTGTGTATGGTGTGTGAGGTGTGTGGTGTGTGTGTATGTGTGTGTGTGTGGGGTGTGTGTGTGAGTGCTGTGTGGTGTATGTGGTGTGTATGGGTGTGTGTGTGTGGTGTATATGGTGTGTGTGTGGTGTGTGAGGTGTGTGGTGTGATGTGTGTGTGTGGTTGTGTTGTGTGTGTTGTGTGCGTGTGTGGTGTATGGTGTGTGTGGTGTGTTATGTGTGTATGGTGTGTGTGGTGTGTGTGTGTGTGTATGGTGTGTGTGGTGTGTGTGTGTGTGGTGTGGTGTGTGTGTGGGGGGGTGTGTGGTGAGTGTGTGTGGTGTATGGTGTGTGTGTGTGCGTGCTGTGTGATGTATGTGGTGTGTGTGTGGTGGTGTGTGTGTGTGTGTGGTGTGCTTTCATGAATCTATGTGCACTGTATGCTTTCACAAGTTCACAAAGGCCAGAAGAGAGCTGGAATCCATTGGAACTAGAGTTATAGTTGGTTTTGAGCCACCTTGTAGGGTTGTTTTTATTATTTATTTTATGTGCATTGGTGTTTTGCCATCAGTGTTGGGCTCCCTGGAACTGGAGTTACAGATAGTTATGAGCTTCCATGTGGGTATTGGGAATCGAACCCTGGTCCTCTGGAAGAGCAGTCAATGTTCTTAACAGCTGAACCATCTCTCTAGCCCTGCCCTATGGTTTTTTACTCGGAGTCCATCTTAACTCTTTTAATTTTGTCTTGACAGGGTCTCACTGGGTAGCCCTGGGCTGGCCTGGAATTTGATATGTGACCAGATTGGCTTCAAATTCAGAGATCCGCCTACCTCTGCCTCCTGAGCACTGGGATTAAAGGAATGTGCCACCATGCCCAGGTTCCACCCTAAAACTTACTCTGAATTATTGATAACATCTGGAAAAATATACTTGGCTCTGTGTTTAGGGTGGTGTCTTATAGCTGGATGTGGTGATACATGCTTTTAATCCTAGCCCTTGGGAGGCAGAGGCAAGAGAATCTCTGAGTTTGAGGCCAGCCTGGTCTACAGGAAAAATTTTAGGATATCCAGGGCTACACAGAAGAAAACTGTCTGGGGGGGGGGGGAATTGAGTCTTATAACATAGTGACATACATCAAAAACAAAATCAAGATTCTTCCTGATTCTATCTTACACCTGGGATGGTGGGCTGAGGTAGAGTCCTATCTGAGGGGCCTGAGGCGCAGTGACCTTTGAACCCTCCATGGGTGTCCACCCCTTTGCCCCTCACCCACAGCACCAGCCTCTGGAAGCTATGCTTTAGAGCCACCAAGGCCACCTAGATGAGAGTGGACATCTGACCTATAGCCACCTTCGAGCTCAGCTGCCCCATGTGTGGTGGCTAACCCTGCTTAACCATCTGACACACCTAGGAAGAACTGTCTCCATCACACTGGCCTCTGGCCATTTCTGTGGGCGTTTTCTTAATTGTTAATTGATATAGAAGAGCCTAGCCTACTGTGAATGGTACCATCCTAGGCAAGTAGGCATGGGCTATATGAGAAAGACAGCTGAGGGGCTGGAGAGAGATGGCTCAGCGGTTAGGAGCACTAGTGGTTGGTGCAGACAGACCCAGGTTCAAACCCTCCCTAAGTCCTGTTACAGAGGCTCTGAGGACCTCTTATGACCTCCAAGGCACACATGTGGTACACATACATAAATGCAGGCAAAACATTCATACATATGAAGTAAATAAGTCTAAAAAAATTAAAGAAAGAAAAATATCTGAACTCAAGCCTGGGAGCAACCAGCAAGCAGCATTTCTCCGTGGTTTTTGTTTCAAGCTCTTGCCTGGAGTTCCTACCTTGGTTTCCCTTGATGACGGAAAATGAAATGATTCTTGGTTCACCACGTCACCTTTGGTTATGGTGCTTACTGAAGCAAGAGGAAGAAAACTAAGACAACATAGAAGTAGAAAAATCCAGGAAGACAATGAACAAATGGCAAGAGCCATGCATTGGGAAGGAGGGTTGGTTCAGTCTTCAAGAGGCTCCAGCAGCTGCGTCCTGGTCCCCATAATGATACGAAGATATCAGCTACACATGCACACACACACTCAGGCACACAAGCATACACACACTCAGGCACACATGCTCACACACACTCAGGCACACATGCGCACACACACTCGCAGGCACACATGCACACACACACACACACTCAGGCACACACACACTTTTTTCTAAAAGAGACACTCTTAAGGAACCAGTATGCAAGCTGGTTGTGGTGGTGTATGTCTGGCAGCACTCTGGAGGCCAACGTAAGAGGTCTGTGAGTTCTTGGCCAGCCTGGTCTACTCAGCAAGACTGTTTAAAAACAGTTTAAAAAACTGTTTAAAAAAGCTGGGTGTGAACCTCATACCTGAAATATCAGTGCTCTGGAGGCTGAGACAGGAGAATTGCTGTAAATTCAAGGCCCATCTGAGTTAGTATGAAATCCTGCCTCAATAAAAGAGTGGGGCCGAGGAGAAGACTCAGTGGGTAAAGCGCTTGCTGCACCCATGTGAGGATTGAAGTTTCAACCCATAGGACAACACAAAAGCCAGTTGCCTGTCATCTGTGTGCCAGCTGCAATCGGCAAGCTCCAAATTCAGCAAGAGACTGCACAATACATAAAGCAGAGAGTGACCATACTGAGGTCAGCTTTAGGCCTCTACATGCACACACATCTTCCCCCACACTTACACATGCATCTACACACACACACACACACACACACACACACGAATCTTCAGACACACATACACATTCACCTCCACACACACATGGATCTTCACACAGACACATGCTTACACATGCACCCACACACATTCCAATACACATACACAGACATGCCAGAAATAATCAGATACAGATCAGGGTCTCTCATATGTGAGGGCTAAGCTGCTATCTAATGTGTTCTGTGCGCCTGGTAGCTGACATTTATACAGTTCCTAACCCATTCAACCTTTAACAGGTATTTGTTTGATATATATTCTTTTGATTAAAGACGTGTTTTTTTTTTTTTTTAAAAATGAGATGAGGAAGTGGCTTTGAAGCTGTTGGTCTCTTTAGCTTTTCTCTCAGCCTGCAGGGTCCATCCCTTTTTGAAGTCTCCTGTCAAGGTGTATCAGAAGTGGGGTGCAGCTTCTGTGGCCTTACCGCAGCAGCAGCGGGGGGTGGGGGTGGGGGAGGGGGAGGCGGTGACGATGACGATGATGATGATATTATGTGTATAGATATTTTACCTGTACACCATGTGGGTGGGTGCCCTTGGAGACCAGAAAAGGGTGTGTCAGGTCCCAGGGGACTGGAATTAACAGACAGTGTAAGCCACCATGTAGGTGCTGGGAATCGAACCTGGGCCCTCTGGAAGAGCATCCAGTACTCTTAACTAAATCAGGTCTTTACAATCTGCTGTGCTGTTGCCACCTGCCGTCTGGTCCTTCATCACTTTGGCTGGTCAGTTAACAGACCAATGATCCCATCCAGCCCGGATTTACAATCCTTCCCTTGCCAGAGCCCCCTGCACAGACAACTTCCTACGCAGGACCCACAGTCAGGGTCCTGGGTGCATGTCTGGAAGCTAGCTCCGGGTGTTTCCAGTCCAGGCTGTCAGTGAGATTATGTCTGCTGCCTACTGCTTGGTCACGATCATCTGATTATTCTGTATATCAGAGGCTAAATTGCTAGTGATCGAAGTTGAAGACACGCAAGAGAATAACAACTGTTCACTTTATACGCGTCACAGCAAAGAAAACTCAGGCCGGCGCAGAGCGCCCCCTGGTGGCTTTGTGCTCCCATGCGTTCATAGCTCTGCCCATCAGGGGTCCGCATCTGGCTCAGACCCAGAGCCCCGTGTGGTGGTCTTGCTCCTGCTTGCTCGGGTCTACTGAAGGCTTGCGTTCATTCTCCTTAACTTCTACTCTGGACACCGCGGAGATGAGGCCGATCTAGAATTTCCCGAGTTCTAAGCACGACTCACCCTATGTCCCATTGCAAGACGCTGGAACTCAGGTCTCTGCTTCCATCACGTGGGTCCCCGAGATGGAAATCAGTTCCGGGCTTGGTGGCAGGCTCCCGTACCGCTGAGCAGTCTTTCTGGCCCAAGGGTGTTTTTGTATTGTTTTGGGTTTTTTTTTTTGTTGTTGTTGTTGTTTGGTTGGTTGGTTGGTTGGTTTGTTTTATTGAAACAGGGTTTCTCTGTGTAGCCCTGGCTGCTCTGGAACTCACTCTGTAGACCAGGGTGCCTGGCTTCGAACTCAAAGATTCACTTGCCTCTGCCTCCTAAGTGTTGGGACTAAAGGCGTGTGCCACCACCGCCCAGCTGCCTGCTGGTTTTTGAATCCCGGCTGGCCTCAGGCTCACAGAGATCCTCTCTTCTCAGTCTCTCAGGAACTGGGATGGCAGGTGTGCACTCAGCTCCCAGATGGCCTCTCCCCTTAATTTTAATGAGGCCTCCTAGGTGGCCTTGAACACAACATGGGATAATCCTCCTGTCTTAAACACACATGAGTGAGGTGTGAGTGGCCATGCCCCACTCCAAGTCCGTTTTCCTTGTCGTTGTTTGAATGTTTTTCAAGACAGGGTTTCTCTGTGTAACAGTCCTGGCTGTCCTAGCTCTGTAGATCAGGCTGGCCTCAAACTCATAGTGGTCCATCTGCCTCTGCCTCCAGACTATCAACACCCCTTGGAGACAGTCCATTATGCCATTAAAGCCCAGCTTTAAAGTCCAGTTTTAAAGTATGTATATGATTTATGAGTGCATGATGTATGCCTATGTGTGTGTGCATATGCTAGAGACTACATGTGGAGGTCAGAGGTCAGACTCAGTTATCAGTGCTTACCGGCCCCTTTGATTGGGACAGGCCTCTTGCATGCTACTTCATAAGCCAGTCTCACTGGCTTGTAAGCTCTTGAAGATTCTCATCTCCACCTCCCATCTCAGTTTACATGGGTTCTGGAGGTTTGAACTCAGATCCTTAAGCTTGCATGGCAGACATTTACCTTAGGAGCCATCTCTTCAGCCCAAAGCCCATATCCACTTTACTTAGCTCCTGAGTTATGTCAGGGTTATAAAGGTTTTATTCTTTTATCTATACTTTCCTGGCTCTTTACATTAGCCATGTAATTATCTACTAAAACAGGGTATGAATGGTTTCTTTCTTCCTTTTTTTTTTTTTTTTTTGAGAAAGGATCTTATATAACCTCTCCTTGACCTCCTGATCCTCCTCCCTCCACCTCCTGAGTGCTGGGATTACAGATGTGAGACATCACAGCAGGGAGAAAAAAATATTTTTAGAAAGAAATCTTCAGCAAAAACAGAAACTCGAAGAGAAAGACAGTGTGTTGGACACCGAGCTCTGTTGCGGTTTGCTAATGCATTTTGCTATTCTTTATAGTTGCCAGAGTTATTGGCATTAGCTGAGGCTCACGGTCCTTGATGGTATTGCCATATCTAGCTTCCACCCGGCTCTTAGCAATCATTGGCTGGAAGACCGCGCCGAAACCACAATGGAAATTTGCAGCTATTTGGTGGGGGTAGTGAGAGGAGAGGTCCCCAGGAGAGTGGCTAGGGAGCCAGGGACGTAAAGCCTGGAAGCAGTTTTGCAGCAGGAATCAACGAAAGGACTGTGACAACCGCGGCCCCACCCTCTGGGAGGAAGAGAGGGTTGGGTCCCCCGCTCGCTTCCCCCCTGGCCTCCTCGTGGTCGCCGGCTCCGCCCTCTCAGGCCCCACCCCGAGTCCTGGCGCTGGCCGTGGTGCTGAAATACGCGCTTGGCAGAGCCGGCCGGGCGGGGCCTGCAAGGGGGAGCAGAAGGGACGGGCAGGGCGGCTGCGCAGGCCCAGACTCTGACCGACCTAGAGGAGGCAGCAGACCTGAGACCCTCCGGGTCTGGATGGTCACCGGCTCCAGGGAAGCCAAGGTTGACCTTGGTCTGCAGCGCGCCTGGCTACCCCGGGGGGCGTGCTCGCGCTGAGCTGACCTCAGGCTGCTCCTCACAACAGGCTGAGGAGTGACCCACGACCCCGCCCTGCTCCCAAGAGCTTGAAATCTTCAACCATCCAGTAACCCCCATCCCAGCCCTGCGGTCTTTGTCATGGTGAAGTTGCTGCCAGCCCAGGAGGCCGCCAAGATCTACCACACAAACTATGTGCGCAACTCACGCGCCGTGGGAGTGATGTGGGGCACGCTCACCATCTGCTTCTCTGTGCTGGTCATGGCCCTCTTCATCCAGCCCTACTGGATAGGCGACAGTGTAAGCACGCCACAGGCTGGCTACTTTGGCCTGTTCTCCTACTGTGTGGGCAACGTGTTGTCGTCTGAACTCATCTGCAAGGGTGGCCCTTTGGACTTCTCCTCTATCCCCTCCAGAGCCTTCAAGACAGCCATGTTCTTTGTGGCCTTGGCCATGTTCCTCATCATTGGCTCCATCATTTGCTTCAGCCTGTTTTTTGTCTGTAACACTGCCACGGTCTACAAGATCTGTGCCTGGATGCAGCTGGCTGCAGGTAAGCAGGGTTGGTGGGTGGGACAGCCCCAGGGCACAGCTGTGGCTTCCCGTTCCTGTAGAGGCTCTGGGCCATCTTCTACTCAGTGTTCCACAGAAGATCCTGAGTAGAGCTGGGCATGCTCACACCTATGATTCCAGCACCTGGGAGACAGAGACAGAGGATTGCTGTGAGTGACAGCCCAGCCTGGGCTACACTGGGAAGGAAATCCATGAATCTTAGAAAGGATGAGGCAGGGACTACCTGGTGATCAACCTCCAAGACTCATATAATGTGAAGCACAGACTCCTTTGAGTTGTCCAGTGACCTCCATATGCATGTTGTAGCATGCGCCCATGAGTGTGTATGTCACATACACACACAACTAAAAGTAAAAAAACAAAACAAAACAAAAGGTCAACTTACACTATAGAGCTACTGAACCAGAGAGAAGAGTCTTGGTGAGGTGCACACAGCTATTGGTAGATGCGGTCAGGTGTACCAACACCCAAATCACCACACCACAGGCGTGTGCCTCCCGAAGCTGGGAGGAAGGCTGTTGCCCTGTGGCCTAGGATACAACCCCACAGCCATGGCGATGGCACACTTCCCAGCTCTCTACCCTCACTCCTGCCTCTTCCTATCCCCAACTGCTCCCATGGAAGACTCCAGGATTTTGGAGTGTCCATGTTATACTGCCTGTGACCTCTCTCTTAGCCACTTCCTTCCAAGCTCCCCTCTCTTATTGTGGAGTGACAGTCTTTGTCCCTGGATGTGAACTCTGTATTGAGTCACTGTTTTGTGAGGTGGTGGTGTACTGTACAGGCACCCTGGGCCCTTTAACACCATGTCAGGTAGGCAGTTGCTTGTGGGGTCCCAGGGCAAGGGAGGCATCTCCTGCTAACTTCCCTGCTTCAGGCTCAGGTGACCCTCTTGGTCCTTGGGCCAGCTGATATTGGTTCCCACTGAAACCCAGGAAGTGCTGACCTATGCCCTTCAGCAGCCTTTGGTCCCTAACCACTCACAGATGCCCATCGACAGTGGTGGGCACTGGAGACCAGGGTCAAAGCATCTGTACATCTTTGGTTTAAGTAGTGTTACCTGGCTGTCAGACGAGAGGCTGTCATAACCAGGGGTCTGAATCTCAGGCAGGCAGAGTCAGAGGGGACTCCAGCTATAGACGAGGAACCAGATTGACAGTGGGGTTAGAGTTGGCCAAGGCTATATAGCAGGCCAGCAGGCAAATCAGACCCTGGGAGAATTAAGGGTGCCCCCAAATTAGACATATTCTAAGACCATTTTTTGTTGTTTCGAGACAGGGTTTCTCTGTGTAGCCCTGGCTGTCCTGTAACTCACTCTGTAGACTGGGCTGGCCTTGAACACACAGAAATCCACCTGCCTCTGCCTCCCAAGTGCTGGAATTAAGGGCGTGGGTCACCACTGTCCATCTCCTAAGGCCATATGGCTTCTGAGAGCCATATTTTATAAGCATGATTCACAAAACCCTTCATTTGCTGGTGAAGCCTCATAATCAACCTAGTAGAGAGTGTTCCTGCATTTAAAAGTCCTGGTTCAGACTTGGTGAGCACTTAGCCAGCGCAGTAGACTTAATTCCTAGTCTGACCACTCACCTGGCCTGAGTTCCTCCTCAGCCCCAAGCCATCTCTGAGTCTTGCTGGGTGGTAGGGACAATAGTTCATAGTGGTCCTATCAGGAAGAGGCCATAGTGGGTGAATGTGCTTGCCAGCTGGACATCCCCTTCAGGGCTACAGACTGCTGGTGACACACCATCCTTTCTCAGTGCTGTCTGTCCCCATTCCAGCATCTTCCAACAGGTGTGTTTGCTGAGCAGGCAGTAGGAGGGAGTTCTGGGTGAAGGAGCCCCAGGCTATTTGAGTCGGATACTATCTGGGTCATCCTGACAGCAGAAGTGGCTCAGTGCCATGTCATGAAGCATTTATGTGGTGTTGTGTTCCACTCTGTTGGAGAGGAGAGGGATGAAGCCAGCAACTGGGGGGGGGTGCATCTGTTACCTCAAAAATTTCCACAAAGCCAGAGGGCAGGTGAGGGTAAGGAGAGAACAAAACTGATGTCCCTGCAAAGGGGGGGGGAACTGAAGTTTAAAATACTGATGGAGCTTGGGTGCAGGCTGAGCATGGGCTCAGTTGTTTTCCCTGATTCTTGGTAACCATCTTAGTGAATTTGGGTTGTTACAACAAATTCTAGATGTGAGGAGGGCATTTATTACTCACAGCTCTGGAGGCTGAATGACTAAGCTCAGGTTGGCAAGGTGTGGCTCCCTGGAGGTCATCTTCCAGCCACTGACTGTCGACTTCTTACTCTGCCCAGAAAGGAAGGAAAAGGCAGGAAGTCTCTCTGGGGTCCCTTTTATAAGCATGATAACCCCATATATGAGGGCTTTGTCTCATGAGCTAAGTACTTTCCAAAGCCCTGCGTTCCAATAGCCATTGCTCTGAGGGTGAGAATTTCAACATACAGGTTTGGGGCATTCAAAATAGTTAGCCCAGTGCACATGATCTGTAGTGTTTGGTGACTGTACCCCATCCCTAGGGGACCCAGTGAGGATGATACAGTGCAAGAAAAGCATTTTATAAGTACTTGGCAGGGATGCTGAAAAACTCAAACTGTGGTGACCTAAAGCACAACTCTCTTGAGCTGTGTGCCCTCTGGCACCCTTATGGCCTTAGCTTTCACTGCTCTGGGCTGTCATCGCTGCAGGAGGAAGGAGCGTGGGACTCTTTCTTTTTTGTTTGTTGTTTATCGAGACAGGGTCTCTCTGTGACTTTGGAGCCTGTCCTGGAACTAGCTTTTGTAGACCAGGCTGATCTGGAACTCATGGAGATCCGCCTGCCTCTGCCTCCCGAGTGCTGGGATTAAAGGCATGCACCACCACCACCTGGCAGCGTGGGAGGTTCTTGAAGAAAGTAAGAAGCCAGGATGGAGCTGGCCCCTGTGTTCATTTGGTTAAAGGACCTGAGTTGTAAGGTGTACATGAGAATGAAAGGCTCTGCTGACCAGAGCCACTGCCTGCCTCATCATTACACTCACTTCGGGGATGGAGGATGGATGGGTATCTCGCAGAAGAAATGCTTCTTGGGATCAGATCCTGGAGGGCTCTGGAGCCAGAGTAGGTAGTGCCTCTCTAAGTCCAGGGTGAGACTGGGAGAGGGACAGAGGGCCACTTGGTGTGGGGCAGAGCCATCTGGCTGAGGAGCCCGGCCCTGCACCTATCCTGACTGTTGGTTTTTAGCTTTGTGAGCCTTAGTCTCTACACTTGTATTCTGCATGGATGGAAGAAGCTGCCTCCCACCCAGCCTCCCAAGGCTAACCCCAAGACCAGGGAGGTGTGAAGGGACACGCCCAGCCTGATGCCACCCGTGTCCTTTTGTCTCCTTAGCCACAGGCCTAATGATTGGATGCCTGGTCTACCCTGATGGTTGGGACTCCAGTGAGGTGCGGCGAATGTGTGGTGAGCAGACGGGCAAGTACACACTGGGCCACTGCACCATCCGCTGGGCCTTCATGCTGGCCATCCTTAGTATTGGAGATGCTCTTATCCTCTCCTTCTTGGCTTTTGTGTTGGGCTATCGACAGGATAAACTCCTCCCTGATGACTACAAGGCTGATGGCAAAGGTACCTGTTGTCTCCCTCTTGGCACTGTGGGTGGAGAGGTGGGTGGGATGGTGGCTCTCAGGGGTTGAGTGTGTCTAGGTGACAAAACCAAACACTGTGCCTGTCCTCCCTGAGAAAGGCTGGGTTAAGTCATGGGGGGCTGGCAGGTGGAGAGGATGGTAGAGTAGGAGGTATGCACTACTAGGGAAGGTTGGTCTTGGGTGCAGTGTGAGTGGTCTTGAAAACATGACGGTTTTCAAGCTCCTGAAGTGGGGGGGGGGCTCCCAGGCTGCCTCTCCTGTCTGTCCAACTCAATTTGCCACCAGCCAGCCACTTCTGACTGTGGGCGTGGTGGGGACGTGGATTCCTAGGAAACCTGCTTCATGCTGGCCTCCTGTTGTCTGGGATTTTAAGCCCATCTCTATTGGGCCCTTCCTTCCAACTGTCCTGAGGAGCCTTTCCAGTGTCAGTGTTAATCTAGTCAAAGAACAAGACCTGTCTCACAGCTCCAAGGATCCCCAAGTGCTGTTCCTATCAGGTGCCCGCCATTACTCCTGCCATATCTCAGGGATCTCCCAGCCTCCTGAGGGCAGTACCATCCTATCAGCCCTTGGACCTGGACTAGGGGCAGTAGGCAGCTTCTTTGCCCCCGTTTGGCCCAGGACCGAGGATGCTTCTGCATAGAAGCTGTGAGCCCAGAAGGTAGGCCTTCTGTAGCTGAGTCTGGAGCATACCCATCTCTGTGACTAGTAATGGGAACTGTACATCGCCAGAGCTGGATCAGATCTCTCTCCTTCATAGAGACACCTGTAGCTGCTGGGTCCCCCCAGGACCCATTTCGGGAAATAAACTGGAGCTGGTCTTTACAGAGCACCTTCTGCATGCAAGGCTAGGGCGATGTTTGCTTGCAGGGGCCAGTGTTATCACTACACATAGGGCATGTGAGGCAGTGTAGGGGTTCCTGTTCCCACAGCATCTTCTCCAGAGTGCAGGCTTTTCCAGGAAGGTGAAGTGACCATTGGGGGCATTGTTGGTAGCTGTCAGCCTCCAGGCAAAGCTATCCTTAAATTTGTCTTCACATGTGCGAAGTGTTCTTAATTGAAGATTTATTCAAAGAGAAGCAGTCCCTCACACAAACCCTGTCTGAGGAAGGCCTTGCTCAGATGGCCTTTACTAACTAAAACGGCCGTCGCCGCCTTCTCCCTCCTCTCAGTTCTTTGCACCTGTCTTCAGTCATTCCAGATTTTTCTCTCCCCACATTGCACCCTCTTGCTGAAATTTAGCTGAGTCACTGTACAGCTCAGACATTAGGGTGAATAGCTGATTTTTGATGCACTTTGACCTTGAAGAACCCTCGTTGAAACAGTGACTGTTCTTCCGGGGGGGGGGGGAGCTGAAGAGGCATCTCGTGATCCAGGTCATGGCATGGCTGCACATTCCCATCGATATCACCAGGGCTTGCTTGGTTTCTGTTGCATCTGAGAACACCTTCAGTCGGAGCACAGAGCAGAATCAGGAGGGGGCACAAACACGAGAGCAACAGTGAGGTGTAAGCAGCCATGGAGCTGCTGGCTTCCTGGGTCCAGACACGGTGCTGTGGATTCAACAGCCCTGGCTGTCCTGGAACTCACTCTGTAGACCAGGCTGGCCTTGAACTCAAAGATCCACCTGCCTCTGCCTCCCCAGTGCTGGGATTAAAGGCATGCTCCACCACGCCCCATGGCTCTTTATATGTATTTTATGTGAATGAGTGTTTTGCTTAATTTATATCTGTGCATCATATGCAATACATCAAGAGAGAGTGTTAGATCATCTGGGACGAGTTACAGACAGCTGTGAGCTGCCATGTAGGCGCTGGGAATAGAACCTGGGTCCCCAAGAGCAGCAAATGCTCTGAACCACTGAGTCATCTTTTTAGGCACTAAACTTCAAATTCTGCATCCAAGCCCAAAAGCCACCAAGTCCTATGCTTTAAATAAGCTAATGTCATATTAATTATATTAATTAAAGTGGGCTTGTGCTGAGGCTTGGACAGCAAGTAGAAGACAGGAGTATCAGTGTGGAAATATCCCACCAGCCCCTGCCCACTCCAGTGCTTACTCTCTCTCCCCTCTTGGCCTCACAAGTGCCATTTCCAGTGATGCTTCAGGTCCCTTGGCTATAGCAGCCAGTGAAGTGTCAACATACCCACAGCATGGTGAGGAGTCAATTTCCTAATTTAGAATTAGCAGTTGGAAATGCAGCCCTCTTCTTGAAAGACAGCAAGAGGCTTTTTAGAAAGAGGAATCTGAGTGGGTGTTGGTAACGCACACCTTTGATCCCAGCACTTGGGAGGCAGAGACAGGCGGATCTCTGAGTTAAAGGCCAGTTTGGTCTACAGAGTGAGTTCCAGGACAGGTTCCAAAGCAATATAGAGAAACCCTGTCTTGAAAACAAAACAAGAACAAAAAAAAACAAAAAAAAAAAAAAAAAAAAAAAAAAAAACCAGACAGGGAAAAGATTCTGAGGAGCTGGGAGCAGGCAGGACTCACCTGCAGACAGGCAGCCTCCTCTAGAACTCTGTTCTCTCTCTCCAGAGGAAGTCTGAAGCAGCTGAGGGCTGGTGATGGACATTCTGCAGGTGAGTCTGCAGGGGTTGAATCAGGCTGGGCAGAGGTGGAGCCTTCAGGGGAGGGAGCTGTTTGGGACCCATGACGCTCAGGATGAGAGCAAACCTAGGTCTTGAGATTTAAAATAGCCACTCTCACAAATCAGTGGGGCCTGGCAAACAGAACAGAGCATTTTTGGAAGCCGTGATCACAATTTGGGCTCTGATTCTCAGAAAGAATTTTAAGTGATTCACAAGAAACATGCTAGAAAACCTAATACAGAAGAAAATAAGCCACAGAGGGGGAAATTGTTCAATAAAACTAATATAGTAGAAATAATAGAATTATTTGGTATACCAATATTAAATTTGTCTCTCTGTTCCTGCATAGCTGAAGAAAAAAGAAACAATGATCAACCAGCTTCAGTGTGATTCCAAAAGAAGCAATGGTGTGTTGATTTCTTTTTGTTTTGCACACAGGATTCTCTGTGTGGCACTGGCTGGCTGAGTACTCACTATGTATACCAGTCTGACCTCAAACTTATAGATATCCACCTACTTTTACCTCCCTGAGTGCTAGGGTTAAAGGTGTGGCCACACCCAGTCTGTGTTGATATCTTTACTGCCTTTTAACTTCTAAATGACTTAAAAATTAAGAAAAAACAGAAGTCACCTCATCTTCCCAAGTGTCATCTCTAATAGATGGCATTTACTGCTGGTCAGGTGGTCTGTGTGCAAACAAATTATATTCATTTAAACTATTCTTATTTGGGGAAGTAGCTTCTAATCCTTGGCTCTGATGGTGATGGTTGTAGTGCAAATGGTGATGGTGATGGTAGTGAGGATGGTGATGGTGATGGTGGTGAGGATGGTGATGGTGATGAGGATGGTGGTGAGGGTGGTGAGGGTGGTGACGGTGGTGAGGATGGTGAGGGTGATGGTGGTGAGGGTGGTGAGGGTGATGAGGATGGTGGTGATGGTGGTGAGGGTGGTGATGGTGAGGGTGATGAGGGTGGTGGTGATGAGGATGGTGGTGAGGACGGTGAGGGTGATGGTGGTGATGGTGGTGAGGATGCTGAGGGTGGTGATGGTGGTGGTGGTGATGAGGGTGGTGATGGTGGTGATGGTGGTGAGGGTGGTGATGGTGGTGAGGGTGGTGAGGGTGGTGATGGTGATGGTGGTGATGGTGGTGATGGTGGTGATGGTGGTGAGGGTGGTGAGGGTGGTGATGGTGATGGTGGTGATGAGGATGGTGGTGAGGGTGGTGATGGTGGTGAGGGTGGTGATGAGGGTGGTGGTGAGGGTGGTGATGGTGGTGATGAGGGTGGTGGTGAGGGTGGTGATGGTGATGGTGGTGAGGGTGGTGATGAGGGTGGTGATGAGGGTGATGGTGAGGGTGGTGATGGTGATGGTGGTGAGGGTGGTGATGAGGGTGGTGGTGAGGGTGGTGATGGTGATGGTGGTGAGGGTGGTGATGAGGGTGGTGATGAGGGTGGTGGTGATGGTGGTGATGGTGGTGATGGTGGTGATGAGGGTGATGGTGAGGGTGGTGGTGAGGGTGGTGATGGTGATGGTGGTGATGAGGGTGGTGATGGTGGTGATGGTGGTGAGGGTGGTGATGAGGGTGGTGAGGGTGGTGATGGTGGTGAGGGTGGTGATGAGGGTGGTGAGGGTGGTGATGAGGGTGGTGGTGATGGTGGTGATGGTGATGGTGGTGATGAGGGTGGTGGTGAGGGTGGTGATGGTGGTGGTGAAGATGGTATTGATGATGGTGATTTAGAGCAGTCTCACACCTGTGTTTCTGTCACTGAAGCTGCTGAAAGGCAGCAGGAAGGAACTATAAACAGCATTTCTAAACAGGAATCACATGTGAAAAGCACAGTTGAGTGTCTACAAGTATCCTTTTCATGGTTCTCCAGTACCCACCATGAACCCCACACCAGAGGCTGGTGTGCCATTGTCTAGGCTGACTCTGCTGCCTGTAGGCACTCAGGACCATCGCCGTAACTTTCTGCTATTCTGAATGGAATCCACCCACACACTCATGCTCACCGTGGTGCTGGTGAACCCATCTTTTGCTACACTAGAATCAGGTGCTCACTCTGTAGACCAGGCTGGCCTAGAACTCAGAGATCCTCCTGACTCTGCCTCCCGAGTGCTGATATCAAAGTCGTGCACCACTGCCTCCGAGCTTATTAATTGGCTTTTAAAATGTCATTTTATAACCTAGCAGTCTTTTGTCTTCTCCTTTTTCAGGCCATTATTTCCCAGACTAGGAAAATCAGGACTTGGATCCTTCAGAGACGAGGACTTCCCTCCAGCGTCTGATGCACAGAGTCTCAGCACAGGGTAGACCCTTCAGTCTCCCGCAGCCCACAGACACCAGATACAGAAATGCAGTAATCCACATGAGGACATTCAGGGGCTGAGCGGCATGAGGGTGCTTACCCACAGAGACCACGTTTCCTTCCTAGCTAGCCACTTTACTCTTTGGTGGCCTTT